CATTTTTACCACGTCCGGTTCCCTCGACAAAAAGCAAAGCAATCTCTCCATAGGATTTAGGAAACTATCTGAAATAAGGTCTGTGGTTGAGACTCATTGAAGAGACGGATCACGTTTTGTTCTAGGACATTAAATCATCAGCAGTGACCCCACTGGTGATTTCTGAAGAGTGGACGTGTCTGAGAAACGATGGTTGTTACCAAGTGGCTGAATAGGACTACAGAAGTCGTGGAGGTCGTTGTACGTCATTAGGCCGAACACGTAAACACTCCTCTAAGTTAGTTTCTGTTCTGCTTGAAAGCAAGTACCTGCTTCCTGCAGACTGTTCAAACAAACGCTTCAACTCGTACCATCTAGAATCTGTGTGTTTGAATATGGATCTGAAGTTGGCGTGACGTTGAAGCAGCGACCCTGCTGTAGTTAGTTTATAGCATAACGTTAGCATTTTGCTTCTGGCGACTAGATTTATGATTAGAAAATGATAAAAGTAGGGTAGACATGTGGAGATTATCCAGCTGAACAAAACGTGATCCGTCTCTTCAATGTGTTTCAACCACAGACCTTATTTCCAGCTATTTTCCAAAATCCTACGGAGAGATTGCGTTGCGTTTTTGACGAAGGAACTGGAAGGAGTTCCGGGTTTTAAGACGCGTCACTGCGGTTCTCTATAGGCGACCTTTAAACAACTCAAAAATATCTGCAAACTTTTTTTGTTGCATCTCTAGCCCGGCCTTTCTAAATCTCAGGATAGGACATATACTGGTGTGTTAGTTTGTTGGTACTCACTCTGCCTTGGCGTTGAAGACGTGCGTCGCCCAGCCGTCGATGAAGCGCGGGTCTCGTGTGAACCACAGCGCCACCATCAGGATGAGCAGCCCCAGAACGTTGAGCTCTCCGTAACTCACCGGGCCCAGACGCCGGTGCTCCTCCCGCATCACTTCGTACGCTGCTCGCTGCTTCTCCGTGTGCACCGTCCCGCAACCCCACATCTTCCTCAGGCTGAACGGAAAACACAGAGACTTTAACTTTCCAGTCGTGCTTGGGTCGAATAAGACCTATTTCCAATGTTTTCGTATGTCAGCATTCTTTCATCTAATCAGCAGAAAAACAACATGGATGGTTCCATACGGTCTTTGAATGACACATGGATGATCACTACTTCCATTGAAGCATCGTTGGTCTATAATTGGTACATTTTGATTGGATTTCTGACTGAACTTTGGCATTTACCAGGATGTGATTATCCGTCCACTCTTTTCCTCAAGCTAGAGTCAAAATAATCCAATTTTATTTTTATTTTTTATACTCAAATATAAGGTTTAATTTTGTGCAAATTGGGTCTATTGTCCCTAAATTCCAGAACAAAGAGAAAAACTTGTATAAATAAGTTGGATTTAAGGTATCTAAAACGCAGTAACACATTATTGCACATATTTTGTTCCAATTATATTTCTACGTTTTCAATCATATTCAATGTAAATACTTTAATGTTTTTATAGTTTTCTTCAAATAGTTTTCTATCTGTGGTTTTTATTTTTGTTCTATGTTTATGTACGCACCACAACACCAAGTCAGATTCCTCGTGAGTTTCAACCTACCTGGTGATAAACCTGTTTCTGAATTGGCTGATGTTTTATACTATATCTTTAATAAACAGTCAAACCAGACCTTGATGGGAAGACAACACGAAGGTTGACCATCTGTAGACGAATGGGTGTATTATCGTATCCTGGCGACTCACTTGCAGCCGATGAAGAGGAACTGCAGCCAGAACCAGGCGAGCGTCAGCGTCAGCAGCATCGTGGGGAACGCGAACAAGAACCAGGACGCAAAGTTGATCACGTCTCCGTTCTGAGGGAAGAGTCTACGAGGGAGAGACAGAAAATAAAGATCGTAAGAGTTAAACTACTTAACTTATAAAGAATATCATCAACATGTATTCGTTTAAGGTTGTTGTTGTTGCTAAAAAATCTCTTCTGTTTTCAGTAGTCGCCAGAGAACATTTAAAACTAAGTCTAACATTCTCGAGTCCCAACAATTCACTCAAGTCTGTTGGTTTAAAGTCTTGGACAGCTGTTGTCTGTAGCCGATCCAACCAAACATTTAAACAACCGATAGCAGAGCTTAAATATAAAAAACGTTTCTACTTTAAACAAAATAACCCTAACTTGTCTAAAACTGGGACCTTAATCTGATCCACCAATGAGGAATGGAGGTTATGAATTTGACCAAACCTTCGATGACAGTACTTCAGTACAGCCAGATGTTCAGACACTAAACAGAGGGCCTCGGAAACCTGGTGGTCAATGGGTACTGGTTCTAAATGTGAAATTGTGTAGAACAAAACAATTGTACTCTCCAAACAATCATAAGGGAAACCCAACACCTTTAACCGCAGGTGACTCCAGTCCTACCCCGATCCACTGCTGGTACGTTTAGCTAACTAACTAACAAACTAACTAACTAACTAACTAACTGACTAACTGACTGTTAAGACTAACTAGCAGTGGTGTAATGTAACTAAGTACATTTTCTCAAGTACTGCACTCAAGAACAACTTGTACTTTAATACTTTTTAGATCTACTAGACTATATTTTGTAGACATGAATTAAAAGTGACTTTTCAGATTCAGATTATTAGCAAGTACAAAATATAAATCCACTAATAAATAAACATTGCCATATAACTGTAGGTTAAGATATCCAGCAGCAGTGTATAAAGTCATTTATAATAGAACTAATAGAACTGGATCATATGGACCAACGTAGCAGGAGGTGTCAGCAGCTTGCAGAGATGAAGATTAACATTAGCATCTAAAGGCAGAGATGAAAGAGTACACACATCCATTACATGTTGTTAGACGCTTCTATCCAAAGCATCTAACAAATTGCAAATTGCTCCCCACAGGAGCAATTTGAGGTGAAGTGTCTTGCCCAGGGACACATTGACATGCTGACTGCAGTGGGGTATGAACCTGTGACCCCCTGATCCGAACACTAAGGCTCTATCCACTGCGCCACATACCTCCACACATCCTTTACTCAAGTAGAAGTACTCGTGTTTAAAAATACTCTGATGAAAGTAGAAGTACTGATTAAACTTCTTTACTCAAGTCAAAGTAAAGAACTTTGAAATGTACTTCAGTAAAAAGTACCCATAACTAGCAGCTGTTTTAAAGAGTACCTGACCTCCCTTTATATTAATAGAACAATAATGTCATTGTGAGCTAATGAATGTTTCCATGCGAACAACGGCAACATGACAACGTTTTCATTGGTCCCTCTTCTTTAGAGAAGACCAGGAAATGATGGAAACACACATTCAACCTAAAGGAACCAGCCTGTTTGGGAAATGTGAGAAGTAGAAAGTACAGGTATTTGTGTTCAACATGTAAGAAGTAGAAAGTACAGGTATTTGAGTTCAACATGTAAGAAGTAGAAAGTACAGGTATTTGAGTTCAACATGTAAGAAGTAGAAAGTACAGGTATTTGTGTTCAACATGTAACACACATCCTTTACTCAAGTAGAAGTACAGACATCCTGTACTCAAGTAGAAGTACACACATCCTGTACTCAAGTAGAAGTACACACATCCTGTACTCAAGTGGAAGTACACACATCCTTTAGTCAAGTAGAAGTACACACATCCTGTACTCAAGTAGAAGTACAGATACTCGTGTTTAAAATACTCTGGTGAAAGTAGAAGTACTGACTAAACTTCTTTACTCAAGTCAAAGTAAAGAGGCTTTGAAATGTACTTCAGTAAAAAGTACCCATAACTAGCAGCTGTTTTAAAGAGTACCT